TGTCCCAGTGTCCCTTTGGTTCCATGAGGCCCCACAATGTCACAAGAATCCCGGGACACAACAAGGTTCCGGGGGATCCCAATGGATTGTTGGTTCCAACTGGCCTCACTGAGTCACAAGGGCCTCAGGATTCCTTGAGACTCCACAGTGCTACTGTGTCCCTTTGGTTCCACAAGCCACAGTGTCACAATGGTTCCTGAGCATCTTTAGGCACCAGTGTCTCAGAGCATCTCCTCAGTTCCATGAACTCCACAGTGTCACAATGTCCCCTTTGTTCCATTTAGTTCTGCAGTGTCACAAGGATTCCTGGAAAGAATGAGGCCCTGAGGTATCACAATGGATGGTTCCATCAAGTCCCAGAGTTTCACAGTCTCCTCTTGCTTCCATGGATTCTACAAGACCCTGGAGTGTCACAGGGCCCCTACAGTCCCATGAGTCTTCACAGTGTGACAATGTCCCCAGGAGACACTGCAGTGTGACAATGTCCCCAGGAGGCAGTGCAGTGTCACAGAGGAGCAGCACTGGAGTGGGTACAGCACCAGGGGAGGTTTGGCAGTGCTTCCATGTCTGTGACACAACAGTGGTGGCAACACCAACGTTCCCATCTCTAAGACAACACAGATATTCAAGACCGAGCATTCCCCTGTCAGTGACACCCCAGTGGTGGCAACCTCAAAGTTCCCCTGTCTGTGACATGACAGCAGTGGCAATACCAATGTGCCCCTGTCTATGACACCAAAGCAATTGCAAGCCCAGTGTTCCCCTCTCTGTGACACCACAGAGGTGGCACCCGCAGCATTCTTCTCTTTATGACAGCACCACAGTGGCAAGCCCAACATTGCCCTCTCAGTGACACTGCAGGGGTGGCAGCCCCAAATGCTCCCCTGTGACACCACAGCAGCGACTCCCCCAACATTCCCCTCTGTGATACCACTGAGTTGGCAGTTCCAGCATTGACTTCTGTAGGACACCACAGGGGCAGCAGCCCCAAGATTACCCTGTCTTTGAGCCCACAAGGATGGCAGCCCCAACATTCCTCTCTCTATGATACCACAGCAGTGGGAGCCCCAGAATTCCCCTGTCTGTGGAACCCTAGCAGTGTAAGCATTTCCCTCTCTGTGACATCATAGTTGTGGCAGCCCCAAGTCCCCCTCTCTGTGACACCACAGCAGTGGAAGGCCCAGAGTTCCCTGTCTGTGACACCACAGCTTTGGCAGCCCCAACATTCTCCTCTCTATGACTCCACAGCAGAGGCAGCCCCAATGTTTTCCTCTCTATGACTCCACAGCAGAGGCAGCCCCCAGCCCCCAGCATTCTCATGTGTATGATACCATTGTGGTGGCAGCCACAACGTTCCTCTCTCTGTGACGCCTCAGTGGTGGCAGCCCCAGTTGTCCCTTCTATGACACTACAGCAGCAGCCACCCCAACATTCCCCTCTCCATGACACCTGAGCTGTGGCAGCCCCAGTGCTCCCCTCTCTGTGACAACACAGCTGTGGCAGTCCCGTTGTCCCGGTTTCTGCGACACCACAGCGGTTGCTGCCTGAACGTTCCCCTCTCTGTGACACTGCAGCTGTGGCAGCAGAACTAAAACCGAAGCAGCAGCCATGGAAGAACAGGGGAGCAGGGGAGGAGCAGAGAAGGAGCAGTGGAACAGTGGTAAATGAGCAGTGTTGGAGCAGCAGTGGAGCAGTGGTGGAGGAGCTGAGGAACCGTGCTGAAACTGCACCACACAGCTTTTGAACAGCAGTGGAGTGAGCATGGAAAAGGAGGAACAGTGGTGGCACAGGAACTACAGCCATGAAATTGTGGTGGCACAGGAGCTACAGCCATGGAACAGTGGTGGCACAGGAACTACAGCCATGGAACAGTGGTTACACAGGAACTACAGCCATGGAACATTGGTGGCACAGGAGCTACAGCCATGGAACAGTGGTGACACAGCCCCACAGCTGTGGAGCGGTGCCTGAGATGCTGAAGCTGTGGGACACAGAGCGGCTCCCAGCGCTGTGTCCTGCAGGAGCCGGCCCCGCACACACCAGAGCGATGCCCCTCTGGCTGAGCCAGAGCTGGGGGCACAGGTAGGAATTGCTGCTGGGCTGTGCAAGGCGTGGATCGAGTGCAATTAATGGTGACCTGGGCATTTGATCCTGCTCATTGTGGCTGCTTTTGTGCAGTCAGGACTATTCCAGTTCATCTGAAGTCATGAGTCATGAACTCAGGAGAAACTTGGGACATAAGGAATCAAAGTGCCTTCTGTCCTGCTGTCTTGGTTTGAAAGACAGGTGCCTGCTAAGGAAGGCAGGAGCCTCCCATGAAATGGAGAATGTGAACCCTCCCCCTCTGAATTGCTATAATTTTAAATTAAGGGGCTCTCAGGCAAAAAATAAAAAGTATAGGAGCCGGAAATAACAGTTATTTAATAGGGAAGAAAATAAAAGGATAAAATCAACAATGCAGTACAGTCAAACAACACTGACAGAGTCAGAACACAACCTGACACCCTGTTGGTCAAGCTGTTGGTAGCAATCCAATTGGAAATGTGGTTGCAGTCCTCCTGGAGTGGCAGGTGTGGTTCTGTTGGTGCAGGGGCTCCCGTAGAAAAGGGTGTAGTCTTTCTCTGAGGATCCAGTGGAGGAACAGGCAGCTGCTATTCCACTGGGAAATCCAGTGGAGAAGTTGTGCTGCTATTCCAGAATCTCCAGATTCTATCCAGTTAGGAATGCTTGGCTCTTCCCTCTGGGCGGAGAATCTCCCAATGGGATGCTGTAATTCTTATCAGCCATGCAGTGACATTCAATAGGCTGTTATCAGCAGATGCCTTCACCCCTGGAGGGAGGAGTGGTTGTGGAAGAGATAAGGAAAACTGCCATAGAGATGGCAAATAAAATCCATTTTGCCTTGCAATCTGGGACACCTGCAGAGGAAGACATCTTGGTAGAAGTTGAATGATTTCTGATTTGGGAACCAAAGTGGGTCAATTATTGGCCTGTGGTTTGTTCTCATCCAGAAAGATGTTCCAAAGTACTGCAATTTGGAAATAAAACCAGGAACGTGCTTCTTCATCTGGATATTGCATATGGACTATAGAGCTATTTGTGGTCAATATGATAAGAAAACAACTGGAAATCTTTTCTTGATTTCACTCTTTCTTCCAGTCTCTGGGATTAGGCCTCCAACACTCCCTGCAGGTCTTCTTTCCATAATCTGCTCCTCCGGAGTTGGGATGTGACAAATCAGCAGTGGGAAGAGGGAGGACAATGGACCATTACAACTGCAAACTCCAGTTTTTATAGTCTCTGGATTTCCAGTGCTTAGAAATTGTCATATTTTCAACTGTCTGAACAAATCCCACATTTGTCACTTTTTCCGTGGCAGAAAACCTTCCTTTGGCCTTATTAGGAACCGACCCTGGGAAACACCTCAGTGCAGATGCTTTTTTGTTGGTTTTGCTAAGAGATGACAAGAAAATGAGCACACAGGGCACGGATGAGAGAAAGGGAAGAAACAGTTCCTTTCTTTTCTCTTCCTTGTGGAAACTCTCCTTAAAAGGTTGTGCTCCAGCCGGAGACTTCCTGGGCCAAGGGCTGAGGGAAGCAATTCAGCTGAGGCAGTTGAGGCATCTCCTCCCTAGTCTGTAGCCCTGGGGCTGGGAGGGGACAAAGGTGCCCCCCTTGCAGCCCTTGCAGCCCCTGGAATGGGGGATTCCTCCTGCCTCTGCCAGGTGCTCCTGGTCCTGGCGCTAGCCCTGGCCTGGGTGCTCCTGCTCTGAGCTCCCTGCCATGGTCATTGCTGGTGCTGGAGGGCAGGAGGGAGGGATTCAGTGCAAACCTGGGAGGCGCCAGTGGGCTCACAGATGGCTGGAGGTGACAGTGACAGAGTGACGGGAGGTGCAGATGGACATAGGGGCAAGACAACACCCCAAAGAAAACCTCTTGGAAATTTGGGGGACTTTGAGTGTAAAATACACATGAACACAGACACACAGACACAGAATACTGCAAAGCATTTCCCAGCTATCTTAAGTTGGACAGTGGGGGTGTATTCTATTCCTATCTGATGGGGCAGTTATCTTATGTTAATTGGGCAGTTTTCTTTATCTCTTTCACAACCCAACCTCCCTCCCAGGAGATATCTTTTGTTAATGGGCCATTGAGTGCCACTGCATGACTGATAAAATTCCATCATCCCATTGTGAGAAGCTCCCCCCAGAGGGAGGAGCCAAGCATTCCTACCTGGATATAATCAGAGGGCTGGAAGACCAGAGTCAGCCTTTTCCACTGGATTCCCAGAGGAAGACCAGGCCCAACACCACCACCACTGGATCTTCAGAGGAAAACCCCACTGTTCTGCAGGATCCCTGCCACTGCCACTGTGACCCACAGGGTGTCAGGTCGTATTCTGAATCTGTCAGTGTTTTTTCTTTGTACTATTGTGTTTATATTTTAATTTTCCTGCTAAATAGCTGTTATTCCTATTCCTATATCTGTTTCCTTAGAGCCCCATAATTTCAAAATTATAACTGTTCGGAAGGAGGTTGTTTACATTTTCCATTTCAAGGGAGGCTCTTGCCTTCCTTAGCAGACACCTGTCTATTCAAACCGAGACAATGCCTCAGGACACCCAGGCGGGTGAGGAGGAAGTCAGTGCCCCTTTCCCCCTTTCTCCTGCTCCATCTCCCAGCCCAGCACAGCCCCCAGCTGCAGGACAACCTCACTGCCAATGCCGTCTTGCCGGGGAAGCACTGGGGAGATCTCCTTCCCCTTCCTTTTGTCACAGAGGCACATCTCATCCTCTCTTTGTCCTTCCTGCCCCAGACAAGGAGCTGAGGATGGAAACCAGGGCGGACAAATCCCCACAGCAGAACCTCGTGGAAGAGGCTGTTTTGCGCAGCTCCATGGCACAAGAATCCAATGGAGAGGAAAAGCCCTGGAGATCCCACAGGAAGAGGGGCTCCAAACCCAGCCCAGGGTGCTCTGAGGAGGAAAGACCCACCCTGTGCCAGGAAGGTGGACAGAACTTCAGCCAAAGCTCGGAGCTGGTGGTGCATGAGCAGCTTCACAATGGGGAGAATCCCTACAAGTGCTTGGAGTGTGGGAAGAGCTTCAGGCAGAGCAGCACCCTGATCCGCCACCAGGTGATCCACACCGGGCAATGGCCCTACAAGTGTGAGGAATGTAAGAAGGGCTTCAGCTGCAGCTCAGAACTCATCAGGAACCAACGCATCCACACTGGGGAGAGGCCCTACGAGTGTTCCCATTGTGGGAAGAGGTTTCGGATCAGCTCCCATCTCCTCCTGCATGAGCGGATTCACACTGAGGAGAGGCCCTTCCACTGCCCTGAGTGCGGGGAGGGATTCCAACACAAATCCCACCTCAGCATCCACCAGCGCACCCACACCGGGGAGAGGCCCTACAAGTGTCCCCAGCGTGGGAAGAGCTTCTCAAACAGCTCTACCTTGTCCCGACACCAACGGAGGCACCGGTAAGGGAAGCCCTGCGTGTGCTCCAACTACAGGAGGAGCTTTGTGCACTGGCACAGCTTCATCCCCCATGGGAGGACCCACATTGGTCAGAACACTGGTGACCCACATTCCCAGTGATCCATGTTGGGAGGAGACCTGGCTGGTTATCCTTTTGGCCCTAATTTTCTTCTGATTTGTCTTTATCACTTAAAAACACCTGAAACAGGACTAAAATGAAAGTAATTGATCAAGGATGTCTGAAGTCCCACCATTTAACAGGTATTTGAGGTGGAACTTATGGTTTGTGAACATTTGTTCTGTAGGATTTGTGGGTTCTTGGGGGATTTCAGCAAGTGTTCTCCATATCTTTGCACTCCAGAATTCCAGATAGATTGGTCTGTCACCTCAAAATGATTCAATCCCATTGAAAACACCTCAATTTTACCCCAAAATTGACCAATCCATGTCAAAATGCCTTATTCCCACCTAGGAAAAATTCAGTCCCATGACAAATCTACTTGATTCCACAGTGTCCAGGGTGAGAGGGGGTTGGAAGGAGATTGGGAGAACTGGCATCCAAATTTGAGGGTGTGGGACTGGGATTGTGTGGGGCTGGGTGTGTGGCCTGTATTTTGATAGTAAATAAAACTTCCAGAATGACTGATTTCTGTCCCATTCATTTTTTGTCAGTTCCAGTTTGTTTTTCAGAGTGCCACCTTCGCAGCTGTTTGTGTTTGTGCCCTTCTTTCTCTCCTGCCTTTCTTTGCCTGCTCTGTTTCTCTCTCAGTGTCTCTCTTGACCCAGGGCAGCTCCCACCAAAGACCCTGCCCTGATTTATTTCCCACTCCCGGAGCTACAACAACCACAGGTGAAGCTATGAAGGCTGGCAGTGAAATGTCACTGTAAGATCGTGCTCCACTTGGAGCATCTTTTCCTGCCTGGGAATGGGAATTCCAGCCCCTGGCAGTGTGTGCCATGGATCCCAGAGGGGCATTCCCAAGGCTCCCAGGGCGCTGCTCCTGCCGTGCCTCCCAAGGAGCTCTGCAGGGCCAGTGGACAAGGTCCAGCAGCTCTGTTGGTTCTGCAGTGCCACAAGGGCCCCTGGGTCCATGAGTGTCCTTACTGCCAACAGCGGTTCCTTGGTTCCCATGATGCCCTGCTGTGTCACCATGGATATTTGGTGCCATGAAGTTCTTCAGTGTCACAATGGCCTCCCTCGCTCCATGAGCTTCCACAGTGTCACAATGGCCTCCTTGGATGGGCAGTGTTACCATGGGCCATTGGCTCCATGCAGCCCCGCTGGGTCACCATGGACTCCTTGGTTCCACGAGGTTCTGGGGGTGTCTCCATGGTCTCCTGGGATCCACAGTGTCACCATGGACCACTGGACCCACGTGGCCCTGCTGTGTCACCATGGCCCCTTGGTTCCATGGGACCCCAGGGTCATAATTGACTCCTTGCTTCCACGTCACCTCCTCAGTGCCAAAATGGCCCCTTCGTTCCATGAGGAACAAAAAAGTTTTGTAGAAACTTTGAAAAATCAATACACCTGGGAACATCTGTTTGCATTCAAGAGAGGTAAAAGGTGAGGATGGCAGGAGCAGCTTCATCTGCAACAGAGATGCAGGGAAACGACAGGGACAGAGAATTCAGGTGCAAGACTCAGAGAATTCTGCTCCCAGAGATCATTTCTGCTCACACTGTCCCTCCTAGAAAGGTGACATCATTCCAGGCAGTCTGGACTGAGCAGGTTGTTTCTGAGGTGGGTTTGTTTTTCAGGAAACCCACTCAGGGTTTTCCATTTGTTCTGGTTTGAAAGCAAAACCAGAGAGAGACTCGATGTCAGAAATACAATTTATTAGGAAAAAAAAATCAAAAATCATGCAATAATACATAAGAAAAAACACTGATAAAGTCAGAATATAACCTGTCACTCTCTTGGTCAGGGTGCTGATAGCAGTCCAGTTGGAATGGTGGCTGCAGTCCTCCTGGAGTGGCAGATGTGGTTATGTTGGAGCAGTGATCCTGTAGCAGGGTGTAGCCTACCTCTGAAGTTCCAGTGGAAATGGCAGCTGTTGCTCTGGGGAATCCAGTGGAAAGGCAGCTTGTTTTGTCCCAAAGCCCAGATAATATCCAGGGGGGCATGCTTAGCTCTTCCCCCCTGGGTGGAGCATCTCACAATGGGCTGATATCATTCTATGAGTCATGAGGTGGTCCATTAAACAGAAATGGCTCCTGGAGGGCATTATCTCTGAGTCATGCAGAAAGGCATTGATAGGCCTATTAACAGGAGATAAGGGATAAAACAATACCCCTCCTGTTTCAACAGCTCTTGAGGATGGGAATAGAGTACATCTTTATATTGTAACCTAGGTCATCTCTCACCAATGGAAGGGTGGGACCGAATAACTTCATATTTGGTGTCATTTTGTGCTCTGCTGGGAGTTTCCCGAGGGCTGGTAGTGCTGTTGGCTTCAGGAACAGTTTGGGTAATGGCTGTAGGACTGAGGGTTGGGTAAAAAACCAGAACAGTATTCTTGTATTTATAGTCTTTTGTTACATGTCCAGTTTTCCTGTAGTTATAACAGTTTCCACTGCCTTTATTACATTCTGTATTGTGGGGAAGCACATTTGCTGCAACCAGCATTTCAATTGCACCCTGGCTGGCGGCCTTGGCTAGGCTGGAGTCACGGTCTGAGACCGCTTGGAATATGCAAGCATCAACCATCTGAGCAATGGTAGGCTCAGGGTCAAGGGGGAGGCTGTGAAGAACCTTTCTGCAGTCAATACTGGCATTATAGAAAGCTAATTTGCTAATAAGATCATCCTGGACCTTTTGATCATCTACCTGTTTTTCCAGGGCTTTCATAAGGTGCTTTATGAACTTGATATAGTTCTCATCCGGGCCCTGGTGAATGTCAGTGAAGTCAGTGTGGGGTGTAGAATTATCAGGTGTTTGGAGGAGGGTGGACCATGCAGCGCCTTTGAGATCTTCCAGTATTGACTGGGGGAAGACTTCAGCCTGATACTGCAGTCTAGTATAGTCTCTTTCCCTGGTAATGCGGTCCATTGTGAGGTGTTGTCACCCTTCTTCCTCAACATAACCTTTTGGTAACTCATGAACTTTTTTTATCCAAACTCCTTTCCAGAAAATAAATTCATCGGGTGACAATATAATTTTCATACACCATTTTAAATTTTGTGATACCATTGTGTGGGCAGTAAATGGCACGTCCAGCAAATTGTTAAAATAGGGAGAACCCCTCCCATAATCCTTGGCAGCCTTTACTAAGTCATTCATTTCCCTATGGAGGTAGGGAATCCAAGATTCAGGTGGCACCTGTGCAGTATAAGCAGGGGCCAAAACCTAAATGGGAATCTATTCCCTATGGATTCCCATTTAGGTTTTGGCCCCTGCTTATACTGCACACCACCTGAATCTTGGATATCACCTCCCGGTCCCCCTCCTTTGCAGCTTTTCTCCGCATCCTCTGCCAAGAATCCTTGGGCTCATCCTCACTCTCAGATAAGCTATCACTCTTTTCCTCTGTAGAGGAGGCAGGTCTGCTGGCAGAGGCGCAGGCCTTTCTGCCAACCAGCAATGCCTGGCGTTGAAGGCCTTTGGTAGCCCAAATGGCTTCCTTCCAGTTGGCCCCATGTCCGGTTCCAGTGATGTGGGAACTGGAAGAAGCTGGACTGGAGAAGGGGTCTGGAAGTGGAGAGGTGGAGCCTGCGCCGGGGAGGAGCTTTCTGATGACAGGGGAGGGACCCAATGCAGCGGTGGAATTCAACATTAAGGTGAGACCCGTCACAGAGGAGGCACCTGGAGCAAAGGCGGGAAATGGGGATGAAGGCGGGAGGGTATCTAAAATGGCGGTCTCTCTAACAGGAGTATTGCCATCTTGTGATTTATAGGAAGGAGGATTAGAACTAGGGAATGAAGGAATGTGGGTGAGGGAATATGTCAAGGCAGTATGGCCACTACCACCCTGAGGAGAGGACAGAAAAGGAGGGGAGATGGCAGACAGCAGATGGCTTGTCTGTGCCAACGGGCGGGCACCATCTCCCATCCTGTTCTCAGGGAACCTGGGTTTGGGAACGTGAATGGCGGGTTGAATAAACCAGGGAAAAGGGTTGGAACCATGAACTCTTTAAATGATCCTATAAATTGAATGAAACAACAGATAAAATTTCCCAACTTTTAAAACCCCTTGTGTTTGTAAAATATAAAACTTTTCCCTGACAGCATCCCAAAATGATAACTGATAGACAGAATCAACAGAGATATCAGGAAGCTCCTCAAATAACCATGAACAATCCCTTTTAAACTCCCTTCAGAAATATAACTCCCCTCTAAATTTAAAACTCTCCAAAACTTAACAAAAACATCCTTTTCAGCTTGGGAATGAGTATTTCCCGTAGCTGCCCCCAATGGAAGAGGGAATGCACACCCACAGGAACAGAAAATCAGACGCCCAAACCCCTGGGAGCTCTCTGCCACTCAGTCACTCACTCTCAGTCTCACAGGCACAATCTCCAGCCAACGTGGGGCTTGTGGGGAGCACCAGAGACAGCTTTCCCTTGCTTGTCCCCACCTGGCATCACTGCCTGCAGGGTTCTGTTCTAGCTGGAACCTGGGGACACTTTCTCAGTTGTGTCCCTGACAGGGATCTCTTCAAAGTACCAGAAACTTCAGGGTTTCAACAGAACTGAGTTCTTGAGGGTTCTGTGACATCACTGAGGGGATGGTGACATCACAGAGCTGGCTGTAACATCCCAGAGCTGGCTGTGAAATCCCAGAGTAGGATGTGAAGCCATAGAGCAGAGTCTGCCATGAGAGAGGGTGGCTCTGTGGCATCAGGGAGTGGGTTGTGACATCACCGGGTAGCTGTGTAACATCACAGAGAAGGCTGTGACATCACAGAACAGATTGTGACATCAGAGGGTGACTTTGTG